CTCTATGGGCCTATCGGACCACAGTGCGCACACCAACGGGAGTAACCCCGTATTCGCTCGTATACGGATGTGAAGGAAGCTCAACAGCAAATTGAGTTTTACCAAGCTAGGATTTCTCGAGCCTTCGACAAAAAGGTTCGACGGAGAAGCTTCAAGGAAGGAGATCTGGTTCTAGCTGTAAGACGGCCTATGATCCTTAACTCCAAGAAGAAGGGTAAATTTGAACCCAAATGGGAAGGACCATTCGTAGTGGAGACCGTCTACTCGAGTGGCGCATATCGCCTTGTCACCAAGGACGGTGACCGGCTTATGATGCCGATAAACGGCAAATTCCTGAAAAGATACTATCCTTAGTATCTTTTTGGATAACCAATGCATCGGGAAGTTCCCGGAAGAATACCACATGGGTATTCTTAGGGATAACCCGGTCATTGTGGAATTGACAAATAAGAGATCTGCATTCGAACTCTGAAAGTCAGAATGTCTCTCCTTATTTTCATCAAAATTCTCTAACTCTCATGAGTTATTTTTGTGAGATGAGATATAATCACCATCCGCTGATCAAATTAAACGACAGTGGATCCACCAACATTTCCATCTGCCAGTCATTGGCATTTCTCAGACTCAACATGTTAGGTCATAATCACCTAGCGTTAAAGTCTCCCTTTGAGTGATAATACGAGTTGGCACTTTCTTTGCTACCCGTATTCCACTTTCTTTGCTTTCTGGTCAAACCTATAAAAGTTAGGGCCAAAGCCAAATTCCCCTCTCGATTCCTTCCATGAACGAGAGGTCCACTTTCAAATCGAGTGATCAAACTTCCCGACAGTTAGGGTCATCTCAAAACTCCTGCTTGGTCAAACCTATAAAAGTTAGGGCCAAAGCTAAATTCCTCTCTCGATTCCTTCCATGAACGAGAGGTCCACTTGGAACAGTCAAACCTATAAAAGTTAGGATTGTTTCCGATTTCGCTTAGTCAAGCCTGCACATAGTCAAGACTAAAGTCGAGTCACTCCTTTTCGATAAACGAAAATCCACCTTTGTCCCCTTTTCCACCAAACCTATAAAAGTTAGGGTTGAAATTGGGTCTTCTCCTCAATGAATGAGGGGTTCTTTGGGTTCAAATGACCAATCCTATAAAACGTAGTGTCGTTCAAACCTTTCCCGATTCTCGGAGTGGAGATCCCACTCTTAGTTTCATCCTGCAGGATTCTGGGGGTGGAGATCCCCTCTCATGTTTCCTTTCCAGTTGAAGATAGAATATAAAATTCTTCCTCTTCAGCACCGGGAGATAGAATATAAAATTCTTCCTCTCCCGTTCCTCAGTCTGTCTTTGCTTTTAGAAAAGACACGACTTCCAATCCGGGCACTCGATGCACGGGGAATTTTATCCTGAAGCCTAAGTAAGGATAAGCCAACGCCTAACACGCATTGCCGGGTAGTCTATTCCCGTGAGAAAGACGAAGCCTATGTATTCAAAATCATAGCACAAAGCCTCAGAGAGTTTACTCTCTTAGCACAACGTTACATGTGAGACGGGTTTAATAATTCACATGCTAGTCCGATTTCAAACGGTGATCGGTAAAGACATATCAAACCCGTTGAGGGCTGGGGGTTTGCCAAAAATCCCATAAACGTGTCATTCAGAATAAATGCAGAAAAATCACAAAAGAAGCAAATGCAGAGTTTCTATTTCAAGTCAAAAGCATACAACAAAGAGCTCGTTAGCCCGAAGGCAACTGACGGCTAAGAATATGAGACTTTAAGCTAAAGAGTCTATCTGCATAACTCCGCTCAAGTCCCGCCTGCAGATCAGCTCGGGCAGATTCCTCAGAATGGCTCAAAATCTCCGCGGTTTCGCTCTTCAGCTTCATCAGTCTCTCCTGGGTAGATCCTAGCCTCTCGAGTGCCTGTTCCCGAGAACGCTCTAGTCCAGCCAGGTCATCTGCAATGAGGGCAGCAGATTCCTCGGCGTGCTTCAAAGCCTCCTTCAACCTAGTCACCTCCTCGCGACTCGAGTCCAAGGAGCGGAGTAGCTCAGCTCTATCCGTATCTTTCCTCGCTACGGTAGCCAACGCCACTGTGCCATCCTATGCTCCAACTGAGAGGACACGAAAGAAGAAGCCCCGGTAACCTCCAACTCCTTCAACTCTCGTATCTCTGACTCCAGGGCAGCGAAATCAGCTGTGAAGGAATCGGCCAATTCCGGGTATCCTTCTTCCCTCATCATCATCATGTGGCGAGAAAAGGAACGACGGAACTGATCAAAGCCGCCTCCTCTGTGAAGAAGTTTCTCGATCAGGCCATTATAAAAGGTGGTGAAGAAGCTGAGGTCCGTGCGGAAAGCCTCTCTGTCAGGATCGGTATCGACCAAAAGGCTACGGACACGCTCATATAGGGAAGATCGAGATCCTACAAGCAGCAACATAGAAGCTCAGTGGATTATCGAATACGATAAGGAAAGTCCAAAGGCAAGTTCTGAGCATACCGACGCCAACAGACGTCCCCTCGGGTTGAGGTCCGACAGGCTCTGAAACAGTAGCAGAGGAGGGTATATCAGCCCCTACAGGCGGATTACTTGCACCACTCGGTAAGGGCGGGGAGGCACCACTACTATGCAGGCTTTCAGCCCCGGGAACTGTAGTGGTATCAGGCCCAACGGCCGGTCCTATAGTTACACTCCTATATTAGCCAAATAAAAATTTGGACAAATAAGGAGAACCGGGACAAGAAGATCTCATGCATACCTGCAATGCCCCCGTCCTCAGATGCAGTCGGAATGCCAAGAGTCATAAGAGTATCGGCCCAAGCGGCTGGTCCTATGATGACACCCTCTTATTAGTCAAAATGAAAATTTAGACAAATAAGGAGGATTGGGATAATAAAGTCATCTACATACCTGTAGACCCATCAACCGTAGGCATCTGAGGAATGCCAGGAGTCATATGAGAATCAGTCCCAGTGGCTGGTCCTATGATCGCACTCATATATTAGTCAAAAGCCAGATGAACATGGAGAAGTATGATATCCCTAAATCGTATGCGTACCCGCGAGCCCGTCACTCCGAGGCAAGCTGGGTATGCCAGGGATCGATATCGGGCTAATCCCAATGGTTGGCGCTACAATAGTTAATCGTTCGTTAGCCAGATAAAAGATCAGGCAAGAGGAAAGGAATCAGATATATACCGGTGGATGAATCATTCCCAAAGAATGGTCTCTCGGTTCCCCTGGAAGTCTGCTCAGCCAGCATGTCAGCTAATAAGCCGGCATCGGGCTTCGAGAAGCTTGGCCTGTCCATCGCAACCTCTGCAGGGTAACCTGAATGTTGAAAGATGAGGAAATCGAAAAAAAATACTTGCAGCAAAAACGGAAGATCTTCCTTCCCCATGCTTGAGGAAAGTAATGTGGGATGCAGATATACCTGAATATGGGACTGTGGGCTCGACATTATTCATCTGCTCAAGATCGATGTTTAGATCGATGCCCAGAGACCCGTCATGAAGGGCGTCGCACATTTGCCGCATAAAGCAATCCATGTTATCAGCACCAGGAGATTCCGAACCCGGTGGGAGTTCGCCCTCTTCTAAGAACCCTGGAGCATAAAACATGGTTACAAATCCCAAAAGGTAAATCACCTTAAAGCAATGGCAATAAAATTTTACCTTCCCCTCCATCGGCGGTGCTTCCTAAATCCACTCCGCAAGGGCGCTGACCGTCGTGGGGTTTATGTGCGGTCTTCTTCCTCTTCGGGGCACCAACTCTCCGAGGACCAACAGGTCGGTCATGCACAGGCCTGTCACACGTTTCAACGTGTGTAGGAGCCGGCGGCTCATGATCGTCGGCTGTCCTACCTAAAGTGACAATAGCCATTTAGCCCGGACTGAGTACTCGGATTGTAACTCTGAGAGGCTCCTAACACTGATGGATTCATAGGCAGAAAGGAACCACTTGCAGCTGAGGAAAGTGGTCAGCGGCTTACGCCTATATGAAGGGAGAGCAAAATGGGCTCCAGTGCAGCCCACCATCGTCTACAGCCACGCTTGTACGCCATCAACCAGTCCTCCCTCAATCTGCAGGCTACGGCTTGGATTTCCGACATACAGTTGGTCATAGCCGAACTGGCGAGCAAAGCGGCAAGGGAGATAAGGCTCTATGTGGCATCGATTCTTCACCCGAAGGACAAGATACCCAACGCGGATGTTCACTAGCCACCGGAAGCAACCAGCATCAAGAACGGTCCGGCCACTTCTAGGTTTCTCCTCATCAATCAGCACGTCGCCATCGCGACCTGAAAAGTGAGGGAAACACTTAAAGAACTCCCAACTCTTGCGGACCCGGAGCTCTCGCTGAACATCACTAAATTTGCTCCCAAACCATCTGCTCTGCTCCAACAATTGCATGAAGGGGACAGGGATGTCAACAACGCTGGGGGTCGACATCAAGTCGGGACGGTGAAGAACGAGCCATGCCATCAAATATGCGTAAGGGAGCTCAACCTTTGGGCAAACCAGCTCAGCTGATGGTTCAGAACCCATATGTGTGAAACTGCTGACCAGACCCCTGAGCCCGCAATGGATGCTAGCAACCATTGCTGGGAGCAAGGAAAGCTCTCTCCCGTAAGCTAGCTGAACGGCAGGGAAGAGCACCTCGATGGGTAGAGCGTCTGAAGGCTGATGCAGGACGACGTATTTCTTCAACCAAAGGGCAAGGTAGCCTGCTAATAAGGTCCGAGGCCCAATGGACTTCTGTGCACGGCAGAGAAAAGAGCGAAACTTGGTCCCCGCGGGAAAAGCTCCCTCAGCACTGGCGATAGTGTAAGATTGAGCCTCAGCCTTCTCCAGCAACTCATTAATCGCAGAAGGGGTCAATATGTCTAACTCATGAACGGACTCGCCGGAGTTACCCTCCAAGTTCTGGAACAAATAGCAGGCAAACTGCTTCAAGCTGATCTGCCTCTTCCTCTTCGCTTGAGGAGAAGTCTGAACCAAGGAGGTGTGATAATGACAGGTAAGATCCCAGAGAGTGTCATACATGTCGGGAGTATCTTTCTTCATACACTCCAGCTGCTGGTTCGTAGGGAAGTACTCCTGATACGGACAGTCCCCCATCGGAAGACCCGAAACATAATGCATCTCATGCAAAGCTAACCCTAGCTCACCACCACTGGTCAGAAAGGTGTTGCTGTCAGGCATGTAGGTCTCCAGCAAAGCCAAGAAATGGCGACAGCTGACTGGGATGCCGTACATAGTAGCTCGTATGGGCGCATACAACCCACTGCTCTTCAGATCCCTCTCCCAGCGCGTTAAGACGAAACCAGTCATGCACGCCCACCACCCTTTGGCTAGCGAGGAAGCCTAACCGTAACATCTGTACTCTGGTGGAGGTAACCGTCTCCCGAGAAGAGCCAGACGGTTACTCACAGTAGAGGCAGCTGCTGACACCTCGCCTGGGGGTGCAGTGTTAAGGCCCATAATCCCGGGCCGAAGACCACGAACGTCTTGATACCCGTTAGAGCCAGGGGTCTTATGGTGAGTGGCATATCCACACTGAACTCGCTCAGCATTTTCAGTAAGGTGCCAAGACATCTGTCTTTCCACGGCCTGCCCCTTCAAGTGACTGAAAGAATATTGGCGTGGAATCGAGGGGATGTACAAACAAGCTCCACCGTCGAGAGCTAGCCAATGCTCCTCGCCAAGGGTCAGCATAGCAGGATCCTCGACACGGTCTCCAAACAGGAAACTCGGCTTCTTTAAAGCCTGAGTGGATGTAGAATCTGCGGTAAAAGAGGCATCGGTAATAAGCTGGCGCAAGCAATGGCGCTCTCCTTCCCGTATCAAGCGGCAAGATTCGTCTGAGCGACCTCTATCGAAACGAGGAAGTGGGCTAACAGCCTGCCTAAGGGAAGCTGAAGAGAAGACCTCCCGACTACAACCAGTGTTGGCGTGAGGAGGAAGGCTACCCGCGGGAAATTCCACTGCAATAAAGCACAAGGGTGGAGTCAGAAAAATTCACAAGAAGAATGATAAGCTCATCCACGGAATAATTGGAGTGACGATTTTGAGTGTCCTACACTGGAAGAACGGTATGCATCATCACGCGAATAACGTGGTAACATACACCGAACTATAAGGTGTAGGACGACACAAAATCGCCCCAATATACCAGAAGACTTGAATTGGCTAAGCAAAACAAGTCTGAAACCTTAACCCCCGCGAAGGAGGGTGTCGGTTCTTCCTTCATGACCCGCAAAGAGGTCAATCAGGGATGCAAGAAGAAAAACCTGTATAAATTCTCACCCCCGAAGAACGAGGCCGCGGGGGAAGACGCCGCGGGAACCTCTTCCTCACTATGCTGTGAATGAGAACGACTCCTACGGGGTCGAGATCGACGCAGAGACATTGCAAATTTGCAACGAAAAGCAGCAAGTCAGGTACAATCTAAAATATGAGTACACGAAATTTAAAAGGGAAATTAAGAACTTTAATTAAAATCCTATACATAAATAGGGTTTCATAATTGAAGTCTAGTTAAACCTACAAATTTCGTGCGTGCGAAACAATGATTGTCACCTTTCGCGGTGAATTTTGGTGAAATACCCAGAATACCCTTCGTGTTCAAGGCCAAAATTCAGGTCAAAGACACGCCCGGGTTGGGTCATGGTCATCATATCTGATCATATAGCACCCCCGGTACCTCACAAGTTTGGTTAATTTTACAAATGAGCCCTTTTATAGAATTTAACCAATTTTGCATAAAAGCCCCCCACAAATTTTCGGCCATATTGTAACTTTGCATAAAGGCCCCCAAAATTTCGGCCATAGTGCAATTTTGCATAAAACCCCCCCACAAAATTTTGACCATATCGCCTCTTTTGCATAAAACCCCCCAAAGCATTGGGCATACACAACCCCTTTGCCTACTACAAGAGTAAAGATGCAATCTTTATCAAAAAAATGAGAGGATTGTGAAGGGGAGCTTACCCAAATCAAGAGGCTTGAAAACCCCAACTCCAAGGACCAAGACTTGAGCTTGAAGGTGGAGGAAGAAACCTTAGCTTGAAAGGAGGAAATTTCGGCCAAAGGATGAACACAAAAATCCGAAAATATTTAATGGGTTTTAACTCCTTGAAGGAGAGGAACAATGGTGGAAAGATGAAAGGAAGAAGAAGAAGTTTGAGAGGGATTCTCTTTTGAATCCTCTTTTGAAAAGAGGGGGAAAAACAAAAGGGGAAACAAATTCAAACAAGAAGGAAAACAAAAGAGGGGGAAACAAAAGGAGGAAAAAGACAAAAAAAAAGAAAGAGAGGGGAGAGGGGGTGTCTCGGCCCCAAAACCGAGACACCCTAGGGTGTCTCGGCCAAGGGCGAGACACCCCCGGGTGTTTCGGGTCCCGTTTTGTCCCTGTACGCCCATTTCAGACCCAAATACGCCCGCTTTCGTCGGCTATTGGATGTTTTGATGAAAATCAACACCAATCAATGTTTGACGATTCGAAACCCTAAGGGTCAACGCCGGTCAACGCGTAGCCCTAGGTCAACGCCAGTCAACGCGTTGCGACAAAAGTCAACGTTTGACGATTCGAAACCCTAAGGGTCAACGCCGGTCAACGCGTAACCCTAGGTCAACGCCAGTCAACGCGTTGCAACCAAAAGTCAACGTTGGACGATTCGAAACCCTAAGGGTCAACGCCGGTCAACGCGTAACCCTAGGTCCACGCCGGTCAACGCGTAGCCCTAGGTCAACGCCAGTCAACGCGTTGCGACAAAAGTCAACGTTTGACGATTCGAAACCCTAAGGGTCAACGTCGGTCAACGCGTAACCCTAGGTCAACGCCAGTCAACACGTTGTAACAAAAGTCAACGTTTGACGATTCGAAACCCTAGGGTCAACACCGGTCAACGCGTAACCCTAGGTCAACGCCGGTCAACGCGTTGCGACAAAAAGTCAACACGCGGTGGTCCGAAACCCTAAGCCAGCACAATGTGGCGGAGGGAGTTCAAAGTCAACTCAATGACACGAGCCAAACTCAATTCATCAGTTGCAGACTCGAGACTCCGACGACGGCCAAGCGATAAACGCAGCGCCGGAAGAACTTCGGCTATTCGTCAAAGCATCGAATAGACCGAAAATCGAAGGAGCCAAAAGTTAAAGCTAACTACAGGTCCTTACGCCGACTGAAGGCTAGACCAATCACATCCAAAGTATTCCAGCCTCTTCTATAAACAAGACGAGTCCGGAACACTTTGGAGGGGGTATCTGTAGGCATCGAAAATTGCCTATAGGTCTCCACGAACGGTTCAGTGTTAAAGAGCGACGATGAACGTCACTATCCGATCCACAGGAGTCCAATTGACGTCGACGAACGACTGAAATGAATCGACGAGGTACGTGAGCTTATAGGATGTCGGAACAACCAAGACCCGGACCAATCGGGAACCCGGCAGTGTTCACAAAAAGGACAACGCCCTTCGTGCCTCGATCACTCTACAGACAATCCAACCACCAGAGCGGATCGAACTCTTCGTCAAGCATCCAACGCACTTGGAATCACTCAAATCCGAGTCCGGACGAAGAATCTACAGGGAAAATTGGAGGAGGATTTTTGGAGAGCCTTGGCGAAGCCCTGCTGCAGTGGAGAGTGGTCGTGCGCTTCAACAAGGAGAGGAGAGGTCTACATCAGCGCCTTCATCACCCGTTCCCTCTTGGCCTTAGTATTAGCCCTTGGCGTTAATACTAAGAAGAGCTAATATCTCGCTTAGCCGAGATAGACGCTTTATAGCTTCTAGATCTCACGCGGATCGACGAAGCTCTGCCCGATTTTCTCGGAGCAGATCTGATTGCCCGGTGGTCCACGGATATCAACGTCCCCGTCACAGGCCAAAGACCCACGCAAGCGAGACCGCACCAAAACGGGATCTCGTGTTTATTTTCGATAAAGTTGTAATCTTTGTTTTGTTGCACGAGGAGGTCTTATAAAAAGACCGACTTTTTTTTATCAATTCTTGTTGTAACGCTTTAAGTTGTAACAGATTCAAAAGCAATGAAAACAGCAACTTTCCCCGAAAACAGTTAGGACTCGGCCTGGCCCAAAGCGGGATGAGCTTGACCTGCATCGGTTTAGAGCCGAGCCATAGGCCGGGCTAGGCCTAAGCTTAGAATTGGAAACAAAGAAACAAATTTGGCCTAAAAAAGCTCGGCTCATTATTGAATCAGCCCAGGTCTTTTTTTTTAACATTTGTCCAGCTCAAAAATATTGGTATTCTGCTAGCAGGACATAGCCCACACCCGCGCACCCATCGGTTGAGTCAAAATGAGCTAGTCTCATGATATGCAAGGGACCTCTTTGTCATTTGGAAATCCCTTCCAGATGATTCTACCATGAGGGAGGGTCTTATCTATCGCCAAAGCTTCTTTCCCAACTTACGGTCTTTGAGCAAAAAAGGTTAAGGAAGCTCAAGCCTGCAAATACCTCAAATGTCCCCAGCTTATGATGGATAAGGCATGTATTATCTTTATTATCAGAGATGCACTCTAACATCAAAGAGCTGACAACTTCTCTTTATTTCTCAATGTCTTTATAGTTTAAAAATAAATTCCATATAATTTTGTAAATATACAAGTATGACTATAAATTGAAAAGGAAAAAATTAAAAAGGAAAAAAAAAACACATCGACCCGTCACCCGAACCACCGATTCACGGGGTTAGATCCAACGCGGCCCAGTGCAAGCCATGAGTCGGGCTAGGTTTAGCCACAGACTCGCGGTCAGAGGGGCAAGTCCTCTAGGCAAGGCCCAGCATGGGCTTGGCTTGAGCCGGGCCGTGCCAGTTCATGTGTCAGGCCAGACAGTTTAGTCTCGATCCGGCACATGCCCACCACCATTACATAATGTGCAAATCACACCAAAATCGCAGGGTATTTTCTAAATTTTTCGGAGCTCAGACTAGAAATGTTAATTTGACCTTTTCGTAAGACTTGTGAGAAAAATCAACAGGCCAGAATGCAAATTCAAATTCTACCAAGACCCATTATGAGAAAACCCCAGGCACAGTATAAATTCCTCGGAAGATTCCCTCACCTACAATTCGAAGCTCAGAAAAGAGATCGTCGTGGGAATCGCGAGATCGAAAGAAGAAGAGGGATCTCCGGCGGCGGCGCCACTCCGGAGCTGGTGAAGCGGCCTGTAAGTGACGCGCCTGAAGGACTACGGTCAAGAAGACGCCATTGCCTTCTGGGATGAGCTCTCGCCTGAGGAGCGCGATCTCCTCGTCAAGGACATTCAGGTATTTTCACAACTTGAATTCGCTTGATTTAGCTGGATCTGTTTGTATTTAGTTTGAGAGTGTTGGGGTTTGTGATAATTTACACAGATTTGAGTGGCTCTTCGTTTATTCGAGGTTGAGATGGATGAAGATCTTGCATACTATTGATTTTCGTTTAGTATGGATTCTTTTTGGTAAATTATTTGATTTTTGGGGATGAGATAGATTCCGTTGCAAAGATGGCGATGTTTTACATTTTTTTAGGATTTGAATTTTCTGATCAAGTTTAAGAAAATAGTTTATTCAATAATTTTCGAAATTTTGGTGAGATTCAGTTGATTCTGTAGCCAAATTGTTTTTGTATTCATTTATTCGATTCAATTGGACCTTAAAATATCAGATTTGGATGAAACTAAAAGAACATAAGAAGAGAAAGTGGGATTCTTGACTGTACAAAAGAACAATGAGAAGAAGCACATCAGCTCAAAAAGCACTAATTTTTCCTTTTGAATCATACTTAAAATTTGTATCATACTTATGTTACTAAAGTTCTCCCTTCCAATTTTCGTGTGATATTCCAGATAAATCTGAAGGTTTTAAAAGCACAGAGACAACATTTAGTTAAGAGTTGTCTAAAGAAAGTTTGAGTCTCTTTCCCATATTAAATTTTCATGGGAGATTTTGTTCCTTTGATCTAATCATGTGACATTATTACGCGCACATTTGAAACACTTCATCTTGAAAATGTATGACCAGTTGTACCTGTCATATTTCAGAGCATTGATCTTCCAAGAATAGACCGGATAATTCGTTGCTCGCTTGGATCTCAAGGTAATGTTTAATGGGTTAGGATAACATTAAAATTTATATTCATTTCATTTTAGTGAATTACATGTACTTTCCTCGTCTCTTTGAACATCTGGATAAAATTAGGTCTTCAGTTGCCTGCAATTGAACCAGTTCCAGAGGCAAGTGTCTCAATTGTGGAAGAGAGAACTCCTGCAGATAGAGAGAGGTGGTGGAAGAGAGGGCTTAAGGCTATCTCTGAAGGCAAGTTAGCCGTTGTACTTCTGTCTGGTGGACAGGTACTTAACTCCCTAAAACATTAAAGCTATATGGATCTTATCCTTGCATCAAGTTTCCTTAAAGGCCATCATCTCCATCACAATAACACCTTTAAGCACATGAGTTGTTTACTGATATCCAATGTGTAGAATTGAAGTACGGTAATTTGCAAGTTAAGTCTTAAATTTTCATTCTCTTAGCTTTTCTTTTCAAATTAAATTAAAAAAACTAATATATATTTTCAATATGTACTCTGATCTTGTTTATAAGGCACTATCTTTGTCAACATCTTCTTATGTATGTCCTAGCAAAATAGGGTCAACTATGGAGCAAGGCTCTATAAAAGTTTTTACAATTTTTTTACAAGGTTTTGACCTGATGTCAAGCCTCACTTAATGAGTTATTTCTTGAAACTGCAGCCAAGAGAGGGGCTTGTAATAACCCTAAAATATCACTTGGAATCATCCAAATTCTCCTGCACCGGGGAATAAGTCTAGAAGAAAGGGAAAGTGATATTTTATTTATCGAATCACTTTGACTTATGTGCACACAAGTCCAAGGTCCAAGCAAAGGGCATACACTTTCCATTTAATGAGGCTAATATTATAAAATCATGCATCAAGCAGAGGTTATAGTTAAGAATCTCCCCCAAGTGGAGAGGAGAAAAATGTTAGATGCTAAGACTGCTATGGATGGAAGCTACTCACTCCACTAACAGAGGAGAAAAATGTTAGATGCTAAGACTGCTATGGATGGAAGCTACTCACTCCACTAACAGTTGTGTGTGAGGAGAAAAATGTTAGATGCTAAGACTGCTATGGATGGAAGCTACTCACTCCACTAACAGTTGTGTGTGTGCGCGTGCGTGCGTGCGTGTATCACAAACTTCTAACTCTGCCTTCTTCAGCCTTCTGCCTTCTTATATATAATCCTTTTAGGAATCTTCATGAGATTCGAAACCTTACGTGAATAAAGCTATTCGGAAATAAAGCTTCTTATTTTAAAGTAGCATCTTCTAAAGCTTCTTTTTGAAAAGCTTCTTTTTTAAAGTAGTATCTTCTAAAGCTTCTTTTTGAAAAGCATCTTTTTTAAAATAGTATCTTCTAGAGCTTCTTTTTGAAAAGCTTCTTTTTTAAAGTAGCTTTTGAGTGGCTCCCCGAGGTTCAGCTCAAAAAATATTTTATTCTTATCAGGCGATCCCTTTTCCTTTAGTATCAGGTGAATGAATGTCATTTAACACACCCATAGCAGCATCCCACATAGTGTCTATGTCTTCATCTTGATCTTGAGCATCTGGAAGTGTAATGTCTTCTCCGGTAGAACCCATACTTTGAGTGGATTTATTTTCACTAGTATCAAAGGCTTCAAAAAATTGCCTCCTCTTCATATATTCTAAATATTTTTGTTGGATCTCTGATTCAGTAGATTGAGAATGTTTTCTTTTCATCATTTTTGCTATTTTAAGTAGAGGATTTTCTTTTTGGATTTCTTGGGTGAGATTCGTTTTTAGAAGTTTATTATTTCTTTGAATTATTTCTTCAATTTGTTTAACTTTTTCTTCAATAATAATTCCAGCCTACCATCTATAATGGAATTTTGTTTTTAAATATGGCAGATGAGACTCTGTCCAATCTGTATCGAAAGACCAATTTTTATATCCATGGAATTTCTGTTTCCGCATAAAACTATGCAGCACATAAGCCATTTGATATTTGATTTTCATTTAATTTGGATATGACTGGATGTGAATCAATCCAAGAATCATATAACTTTTTAATTGGTTTTGGAAGAATTGCAAGATTATTGTCATATTTGACCCACCAATCAAAAAACCAAGAGGGTAATCCTTTAAGGACAGCTTCTCAACATAGCTTAATTAATCATGTATGCTTATTTTTAAGATTTTGATATAGGAACAAATTATAGAAAGCTTGCTGATAATCCCAATAGTTAAAATTATAAATATCTTTAGTATTTTGGGATTTTTACCAGAGGAAGTTCTTGGTTGGGACTCATAGCCCAATCTCGTGGTTTTGTTACTTCTTGTATAATGCATTTACTAAAGTTTAGAGGGAAACTATGATTATCACTACTCTAGAAATGAGTTATTTCTAAGCGCTTTTGCATTAATAGGGTTTTCATCCATGCTCTAGATTTGAGAGACAAGGTAGGATAATAAGTAGAATTTAAATATTTTTGTCTAAGTTTTTCACAATCTTTCATATAAGGTATATCTTCTTGCTCTAGGTATAGAACTAATTCAGTATTAGGCTTAGTATAGGATAATAGGTATAGAACTAATTCAGTATTAGCCCTTTTGCATACTTATTATCCTAATTTAGTATTAGCCCTTTTGTATACCTATTATCCTATACCAAGCCTAATACTGAATTAGTTCTATATGTAGAGCAAGAAGATATACCTTATATGAAAGATTGTGAAAAACTTAGACAAAAATATTTCGATTCTACTTATTATCCTACATTGTCTCTCAAATCTAGAGCATGGATGAAAACCTAATTAATGCAAAAGGACTTAGAAATAACTCATTTCTGGAGTAGTGATAGTGTCCCTCTAAACTTTAGTAAATGCATTATACAAGAAGTAATAAAAAAACCACGAGATTAGGCTATGAGTCCCAACCAAGAACTTTCTCTGGTAAAAATCCCAAAATACTAAAGAAATTTATAATTTCAACTATTGGGATTATCAGCAAGCTGTCTATAATTTGTTCTTATATCAAAATCTTAAAAATAAGCATACATGATTAGTTAAGCTATGTTGAGAAGCTGTCCTTAAAGATTACCCTCTTGGTTTTTTGATTGGTGGGTCAAATATGGTGCTAATCTTACAATTCTTCCAAAACCAATTAAAAAGTTATATGATTCTTAGATTGATTCACATCCAGTCATATCCAAATTAAATGAAAATCAAATATCAAATGGCTTATGTGCTGCATAGTTTTATGCGGAAACAGAAATTCCATGGATATAAAAATTGGTCTTTCGATACAGATTGGACAGAGTCTCATCTGCCATATTTAAAAACAAAATTCCATTATAGATGGTAGGCTGGAATTATAATTGAAGAAAAAGTTAAACAAATTGAAGAAATAATTCAAAGAAATAATAAACTTCTAAAAACGAATCTCACCCAAGAAATCCAAAAAGAAAATCCTCTACTTAAAATAGCAAAAATGATGAAAAGAAAATATCCTCAATCTACTGAATCAGAGATCCAACAAAAATATTTAGAATATATGAAGAGGCGGCAATTTTTTGAAGCCTTTGATACTAGTGATAATAAATCCACTCAAAGTATGGGTTCTACCGGAGAAGACATTACACTTCCAGATGCTCAAGATCAAGATGAAGATATAGACACTATGTGGGATGCTGCTATGGGTGTGTTAAATGACATTCATTCACCTGATACTAAAGGAAAAGGGATCGCCTGATAAGAATAAAATATTTTTTAAGCTGAACCTCAGGGAGCCACTCAAAAGCTACTTTAAAAAAGAAGTTTTTCAAAAAGAAGCTTTAGAAGATATACTTTTAAAAAAGAAGCTTTTCAAAAAGAAGCTTTAGAAGATGCTTGTAGGCGTCAAAAAATGCTAATAGATATCCCAAGCATAGAGAAGATCACTCAAAAATTCACAAGAAAGGATTTCATACTGTTTTGAAAAAATCAAAACAAGTATGAACTGTCTCGCCAGCGAGACAGTCTTTGCTGTCTCGCCAGCGAGACAGTGTTGAAATAGTCAAAACTACATTTGTAACTGCCCTACACGTGTCCATTAACTGCCAGGGGACGTGGGAAACATCATGGGCGAAAATCACGTGGATAACTGCCAAAATAACGGAGTTTGAAACGTGAGAGAACAGTTACAGCGAGAAACTGTCATTTTCCGAGACAGCATTTACTGTCTCGCTGAGCGAGACAGCAAATTTACTGTCTCGCGGGTCGAGACAGCAAACGCTGTCTCGCCCAGCGAGACAGTAAACACTGTCTCGCCGTACTGACTTCTTCGATTGTTAAGTTTTTGCAGTTACTGACCCTTGAGGCTATAAATACCCCCCTAGGGTCACTTCTCACGGGGATCGAGCATTTGTTAGAGCATTCCAGAGCAGAGAGAGCAGAGATTTGAGTTCTTTTCTTGCAACGCCTTGAAATTAAGCTTCGACTTGATTTTAAGAAGAACGACTATCTTACTTCGATAAGATATCGTTTCAATTTCTACTTCGATAACGAAGTTAGAATCATAAGCCCCCTCTTCACGATCTGTGAATCGGCGGTCCACGAACCAAAGCGTTCCCGGCACAGGCAAAGTCCCACGAAAACGAGAATTGATAGACGATTTTCGTGTTTGTTTCTCAAGAGTTGTAATTTTTGTTTTGTTGTGTAGAAAAAGTCTTATAAAAAGATTATTCTTTCGAATTTGTTGTAATCGAACAAAGTTATAATGAATTCCACAGCAGCGACTTTTGAACCAAACAAGCTGGCGACCACAGTGGGAGCCAGCGGCCTCGCTGCCGAGGCCGCGGTGTCGCAACCGATCAAGATCATCGTCAATGAAGAGATCGAATATGAGTTCGATCAGGCGAAGTTTGAGGAGTACTTATCGTCCTCATCCGCAAAATCTTCCTCCTCTCGCAAATATAGGAAGATTTCGTCTTCCAAGAAAACGTTCAAGTCTGCAATGCCCAAAGAGGCCGCAGGTGAAGGTTCCTACTCAATTGCTGCTAAGGAACCCATCTGCAACATACCTGCTCCAAACGACTCCACATCCCTTAAGGAGTCGATGATGAATAGCTCGCCGGTGCTGACGAAGAGGGCTCGTCAGAGACAGCGTCAGCGCCGTGCTCGACAACTGGCTAAGGCCATGCAACAAACCGACGGGGTCCATTACTATGCGGACCTAGAGTCGAGAAAACAGAAAATGACCCAGTTGCCTCAATGGCAAGATAATCATATTTCTGCAAAGCTTACGACGGAGGAATGGACTCTCGTCAAAAGGGCCCGTTCAACCCTTAAAGAACGGATACAAAGGCGTAAGGCGAAGGCTGCCCACGCTCGCGCTCTTCGTCAACAAGCGCAAGAAACCAAGAAAGAGGCGGTGACTGAAAGGCCACCGAAGAATCGTAAAGTCTGGATG